AAAAAACATGTTTTGGTACCAGGCTGTAAACATGTTTATTTCTGCTGTGAAATTGGTATTTTTAACATGGGAGTCAATGAGGATTTGCTCGCTTCTGACACCAGCCCCCAGTGGATGAGGGTGGAACTGCAATTTTTGGTACTTCCGGGTTGGCCTCAATTTTTGAGCCGCATTGTGGGGGCTTGGGTTAGACGTTAAAATCGCTAGAGGTTAGACATTAAATGTTGGTGAAATGTCTGTTTTACCGCGGGCGTCAGAAAGCGACGCTCCGACACAAACGCCTGGCCACCCTTTGTCATTTTTTGACGCTTTGGGTGTAATAATGTGTTGCACGCACACACATTCACACCCTTGTGATGATTAGCTACAATATAGCCACAGCTGTCACCGTCAGAAGTGAGGCTGCAGTGCTGAGATGCAGCCGGTCCCTCAGACCAACACCAGCAGGAATGTGGGTTACGTGTCTTACCCGAGGACACAATGGCAGAGACAGACTGTGCAGGGTTCAAAGCTACAACCTTCAGATTATGGGGTGGACGCTTAACTTTCCTGTCTGCTACTAGGATGTCCCTTAGAGAAAAGGTGAGAAGCTCGGTCATCCAGGAGGGGCGCAGAGTAGATCTACTGCTCCTCCACATCGAGAGGAGGCAGTGGAGGTGGCTCGGGCATCTGGTCAGGATTTCTCCTGGGCGCCTCCGAGGTGAGGTTTTCCAGACATGTCAAACCTAAGGAAAAACCCAGGCGATGATGGAGGGACAAACGCCACTAGCATCAGCTCCACTGCACTCCGCCTGCCCCAACCTGGCTGCGTTCGTTTCACTGTGCACTAGGAATGCGCATGTGATTGAGCACATGGGCAGTCTGTGATATCATGAGCACATCTCCGAGCACATGGGCGGGGCAAAAGAGCACGGAAAAGTCTGTGGTGTCTCCATTATTGAGCAAAAGCGGCCTGAGCAGATTTTGCATCCTGCCTTGCAGTGTGTGTGTGTGTGTGTGTGTGTGTGTGTGTGTGTGTGTGTGTGTGTGTGTGTGTGTGTGTGTGTGTGTGTGTGTGTGTGTGTGTGCTCCTCACAGCAGCGAGAGACTGTTTGCCTTGGCCCCCAAAATGTCTTGAAACGGCACTGGGTGTGTGACTGAGTTTGAAGGTGATCCGAAATGTATCAGATGTATAAATATTACATGTGTGTAACTTATTGCTTTATACAGGTAAAAACGTGTAGTGGAGATAAATCTACCTACATTTCACTTTTCAACACTTTATTTTGTTTTCTTGTTTTTATTGAACTATTTCCTGTCCTGTCTGTCTCTCATCTTCCTGCATCTCCTCTGAACTCTCCAGAAAAACTGTTGCCTGGATTCTTACTTTTTCACCTCATCAGTTACTTCTGAGCAGATCAAAGGGATCTCCTGACCGCAAAGCGGAGTGCGTGTTTCGATGCTGCGTCAGTGAGGTGAAATCACCACAGCATAGGTGATGAGCTCTGCAGTCGCAGAGCGCTTCAGGCACAAATAAGACAGAAAGTAAAGAAAGTGTGGACATGAACGATCGTGTGTTAATTATAGTTTTTTGGTTGTGCCACTTTGAGAATGGACCAACGATCATCGCTCTGCCGCTCTCTGTGCTGTCTGCTCAAAAGAACCCCCGGTACACTGAGAGCCCATAAATTATGTATTACAGGTAGAAACGTTTTTTCCGGCTCTCCCTGGATTTGTGGGATTTCTACTGTAGCTCCCCCATAACTCGATCCCTGCTCCTGGATGAAAAACCAGACATTTTCATCAATACAAGAAACTCGCCCGGACGCCCCGGACGGAGAGTGAAAAATGGACATGTCCGGGGAAAAGAGGACGTGCGGTCACCCTACCCTAATGGAACGTGTGATTTAGAGCCGGCCGATCAGTCAGCAGTGGGCGTGTTGGACCAGTTCGGCACCAGGCAGACCACTTTGGGAAGAGGGCTGAAAAAATGTTGGGATGCGTGCAGGAAAATCCAAGGCTACCTAAATGAGAAGTCTGGGCATTTTTGCTTAGGCCCCTGCAACCCGACCCTGAATAAGAAGAGGGAAAATAAGGAATGGAAAAATTAGCCAATGTATTTATTTTTTTCATTTTACTTTCCTTGTCGCGTTCAACTCTTTATATGTATGTGATGATGCATTTATCATGCAACATCAGACAGAACAATGACTGTGCTTCTGTCTCTGACGACAAGGTATTGGATTACAAATGACATTAAAAACTGAATTAAGGGACTTTTCCAAGTGCCTGTTGTTATAATCAGCTCTATCTTTACTGCAAATGTACTTGTTTATTGCTTAATATTGTTCCTGCAAAGCGGCTCAAAGTTGAATTAAAACGTGATATTGTTCTGGAAAATAAGCTTAATAATATAGATTTAATACGTTTCCCAAACCATGAATACAGTTTGTTATTTAAAAGTGAAGGCTGTAAATATCCATCATCCTTCTGGAGGTTGCATAATGCATTATGCAGTAAGTGAGTGAGTGAGTGAGCAAAACCACTCAGAAATTTAAAAAGTGCATCAGTTAAAAGCAAAGTGCTGCAGTGGGTCAGAGATGCTTTAACACAGACACTCATAAAAATACAGACAAAATGTTTAATTCAAATGTAACTTTGCCAATAAGTTTTAAAAACCCCCGAGTTAAATTCTGACACGTGAGCTGCAGCGATCCACGTCTCAGTGTTTCAGTAAAACTCTGTAATCCTTCCCTGTTGCATCTAGTTCAGCGCAAACAGAGCTGATTTCACACTCGATGCACATTACGGGTTTAAATTTTTTACCATAGTTTTTGATTGAAAGGGTATTTATTTATTAAAATAACATCTGGGTTTTATGAGCACAATTAAAATATCAAAAGCAGCAGCAATCTAAATAAAAAGTGTATCTTTCTTAAATATAGGACTATATAATAAATAATATGTCAGAACCACATTAAATGTGTATAATTAGAATACTTAAACTTTACTTACAATAAATAAATCTTTGTTGAAGATGTGTGAGAGCTGATAACGGTCAGAGATCTTTAGGTTTATCTGACCCATAGTAACAAATAACTAATGCTCCTTTCTTGAACCGTCGTCTTCCTCCGCTTATCCGGGTCCGGGTCCGGGTCGCGGGGGCAGCATCCCAACTAGGGAGCTCCAGACCGTCCTCTCCCCGGCCTTCTCCACCAGCTCCTCCGGCAGGACTCCAAGGCGTTCCCGGACCAGATTGGAGATGTAACCTCTCCAACATGTCCTGGGTCGACCCGGGGGCCTCCTGCCAGCAGGATATGCCCGAAACACCTCCCCAGGGAGGCGTCCAGGAGGCATCCTGACCAGATGCCCATACCACCTCAACTGGCTCCTTTCGATCCGGAGGAGCAGTGGTTCTCCTCCGAGTCCCTCCCGAATGTCCGAGCTCTTCACCCTATCTCTAAGGCTGAGCCCGGCCACCCTACAGAGGAAACTCATTTCGGCCGCTTGTATCCGCGATCTCGTTCTTTCGGTCATTACCCAAAGCTCATGACCATAGGTGAGGATTGGGACGTAGATCGACCGGTAAATCGAGAGCCTGGCTTTCTGGCTCAGCTCCTTCTTCACCACGACAGATCGGCTCAGCGTCCGCATTACTGCAGACACCGAACCAATCCGCCTGTCAATCTCCTGATCCCTCCCACCCTCACTCGTGAACAAGACCCCGAGATACTTAAACTCCTCCACTTGAGGTAGGACCTCTCTCCCGACCCGGAGTTGGCAAGCCACCCTTTTCTGGTCCTTTCTTGAACATTAAATCAACTTTAGATCTTTAGTGTAGAATAATCGAGTGCAGGTTTGAACAATCTTAACGTGATCATGACTTTTGTTAAGTAGATCTGATTAAAGCTGGTCCAGATGCTGGAAGCTAGGTTTGGAGTTGAGATGCCTTTCCTCCAGACACCTGATGCGTCCTCATCTGACTGCTTTATTCGCCGATTTGGTTTTTATCTGATGACGCCTTTATACCTACTGCTTTTTTGTCTGCTTTTTTATTCTATGAAGACATTATTAGTCACATCATGATCCTGTTCATGAGCGGCGGACCCTGGGAGGTAAGGATGTGCGGTGGTTCGCTGAGACAGAGCCGGATGGTCTAACAGTTGCTTTCAGTTCAAGTCGTGCTGTTGGCTGAGGTTTCTAGACAAACTGGAGAGAACCACTTCATTAATTGTTTTTTTAATCTCCACAGAATAGTTGAAGCTACACTATGTAAGAAAATTGTTGAGAGCCATGAAAAAAAAGTTTTAATCTAGCTTGTTTTACAGGTTTGCTACTTTTACCATTTTCACACCACTCCTGTGTTGGAGACCAGACTTCTAAAGTACCTCCAGGCTATAGACACACCCTGCATCCTTTCTACCGCTCTGTTCGATGCAATCATTTATCTTTTATTGTCTTCCTGGTACCTCAAGGTTTACAGCTCCCAAGCTGCGTCCACTCCCTTCATCTGTGGATTAAGACCATTATTCAGCAGAGGAACCACTTTGACTCTTTGTGGCACCTTGTTCTCTTTATCCCCATCAACAAATGACTTGTCAGCTGAACCTGACAGTTTATTTGGCTCCATATATTTCTGAACATGTTGATCCCTTCTCCACAGGGTGCACACACTCCACGTCCCACAGAGATTTGTTTAACATGTAGCATGCATAAACAGAGATTTCCTGCAACAATGAACCTGCCAGGTATATATGACAGCAAGCACATGAGGGACTTGGCTCATTATTTATATCCTGGCGTTCTGCGGGGATCGTGACAGAAAACGTGTGTGAGTGCTAATCATTACATGGGTGCCGTTAATATCGGTACTCCGTGGACTCCTAATAGGATGCTGCACATATCAACATCATCCAAGCAAAGATTTCTCAGTTTTCAACAGTAAATCCACTTCATTTGGGATTTAATACATTAAGTACACATGCCCCCATGCCGGCAGCTTCCTATCTACATTCTGGTACCTGACGATGAAGGAGCGCCGCGGGGTAAGGCCAGGGTCGTGACTGAGTCCTGGCTCGGAGGAAAGTTCAGCCAACAGGGTGATTCCTGAACCTTGGAGAATCAGGGTGACGTGGTCCGGGAGTAGCTCAGGGGCCTCAGAGGTGAAGGTGATGGAGAGGAGCTGGCCGTAGCTATTGACCTGATGACCCAGGAATTTCTCTAGTAGAGAGGCACAGATTGGACAGTTGTGAGATGAGCAGAGCTTTAAAACCAAATGAGTTTGCTCCTTTCAGTTCAAACGTTGAATTCAATCATGTTTTAATGCTAAACCATTTATAAAAAGCCTTTAAATGTTTGTGTTTGTCGAAGGACTCATTTGATGGTGCCTTTATGTATTTACATTGAATGTCCAGTTCAATTAAATTCAGTTTATTTCTATAGCGTCAAGTCATGACAAGAGTCGTCTCAAAGTAATAGTGATGTGTCGGTCGCGAACGACCCGGCTCTAAGAGCCGAATCTATGAAGTGAACGACGGGAGCCGGCTCGTCATTGGGAGCCATCAAACCCCCCCTGCATTGCTGAAAGCCACAGGCGATTGGTCAACATGTGTAACTGCGTGTCCAGACTGTCCACTCGAAGAGCAGTAGGGGCGGGGAAGAGGGAGGATCAGACTCAGACACACAGCAGAGCACATGCGGGTGGAGGGAGATGAGAGGGAATGAGGAGGAGGAAAAAGGCGAGCGAGAGAGAGGAGAGTTCGGCAAAGACGGTGAGAAAATGAGTGACAGCAGTCAGAAAGTGGAGATTTCTTAAAGTGTTCAGTCAATAAATCCATATAAAAGATAAATACTTGATATATAGCTTTTTACATTAATAAATCATCTTACATACAGTTTAGCATTATTTTTGGTGATAAATATACTTTATGCAGCAGAAAACCTGCGGAGCCACTTGGGAGCCGAAAGAGCCGGTTCTTTTGGTGAGCTGCACCAAAAGAACCGGCTCTCTAAAAAGAGCCAGAATTCCCATCACTACAAAGTAAACATTCCAATACAGTTCAGTCAGTAAAAAGTTTCCTAAATAAGTACAACATATATGCCAAGTAGTGTTCTGTGGCAACATTGTGATTTCTTTGTAAATATTCTATTTAGTGAAAGATACACTTTATTATCTTAGTGAATTTTTAACTAGTAGTAGCACTTTCAATGTTAAAGAGAGTACAATGTTATTATCAGGGAGGGAGAATGTTTAAGTGGTTAGCAACAGTGTGCTAGACGATGGCCCCCTCCATGAGGCCACCACAGCTCAGCAGAACAAGATTGTAGCTTCTTCTGGGGAGAAAAACACTTAGAGAAAAAATAAACAGCTGACATAGCAGGAAATAATGCAGTTAAAGAGCAAATTGTAGAAGAAAGTAGTTGAGTGTGGAAAGTGGTCAGTATGTCCTCCAGCAGTCTAAGCCTATAGCAGCATAACTACAGAGATAACTCAGGATAACCTAGCCTTTTAGGCTACGTTCACACTGCAGGCCTTGATGCTCAATTCCGATTTTTTGAGTAAATCAGATTTTTTTGTGTGGCTGTCCACACAGTGACTGAAATGCAACACCAAACTCTCTCCAGTGTGAACGCTCTGCAGCCCCAAAGTGACATGCATGCGCAGGAGAGAAGAAGTCCCACTCAGTAGAGCCGAAACCGGGAGCGGCGGACTTGTGATGTAATCCTGATCCTGTAGTTAAACTATCAGTGAATATTTTCACACCTGTTAATTCTTCCGCTTTGGCCTGGAAACTGTTTTAAAAACTGTAAACCATTTTGCTCCTTGTCCTCGGCGTCTCCCTGAATTATTGCTCACCGAACATGCTCCGGTATTAATTCATTCACGGAGAATCCCCCTCTCACGGAGACCCCCCGCCCCTCCTCCCTTCACAGAGATGGAGACAGGTGAGAAACTTCGCTTCAGTAGGACCTCTGCCTCCCGTTAACGTTATTTCTTGTATTTTTAATTCCTAAACTTAAAACAGGATGTCCTGACAGACTCCTGAACCCCTTCTGTCAGCGCTTCTCCTCAGGAGCATCCGCACACAACACTCACCTCCGCTGACTCAGTGACGTAAGAGACAGATTTAATGTGACATGACCGCTCAGACTGCAGTCGCTTTCAAGAACATCAGATGTGTGTTGGATTTAGTACCACATATTCAAGTGACACCGATCGCATTTAAAAGAATCGGATCTGTGCATTCAGATTGTCATAAAAAAATCCGATATGGGTCCCACCACGTGGGGGAAAAAAGCAGATTTAATGTGCTTTTGACTGTATTCTCCACCTTCCTCTACTCCCCCACTTGTCCAAATCTGGGCTAACATCAGAATTTCACAATAGGCCCTATCAAATAAAATGTTTTAAGCCTAGTCTTAAAAGTAGACAAGGTGTCTGCCTCTTGGACTAAATCTGGGAGCTGCTTCCACAAGAGAGGAGCCTGATAGCTAAAAGATCTGCCTCCCATCCCAAGAACAATCAGGTCACTGATGTATAATGAAGCTTCAATTATTAAGAGTTTTATATGTGAGAAGGAGGATCTTAAAATCTATTCGGAATTTAACAAGCAGCCAATGTAGGGAAGCTAAAACATAGAGTCACAGAGTCTTACGCATATTCAGGATTGCTGTAAAGACACTGACACAAGTCAGTGATTTGATGCAATCTGTCGGGTTCCTTACACAGAAAACTTTTTACTGTTTGTCTTAATGAACTGAACTGTATTGCAATGTTTAATTTATGAAGTGCCTTGAGACGACTCTTGTTGTGATTTGGCGATAAATAAACTGAATTGAAGTTAAATTAATTTAATCAGGCCTTAACCTTTTGTCTTTTGGTACGTCATCACAGAAACAAAGCTTATTTTTCTGAATTAAGAAAACAAGTGATATTTTCACCCTCTAAACATGGAAATCTGAATAATGTAAACACAACTTCATTTACAGTCTTACATCAGTTACAGTGACACAAATGCACATCTGTCATTCAGGACCACGAAGGAACTCTGTCATAAGAAAAAATAGACATAATCATGAAGTTTAAGCCTGAACAGAACAGGCCCCCTCTAGTGGCTGGCTGCAGTACAGCATTTGGTCTCTACCTCCTCAAAGTAGATAAATGTCACATTTCCTGACTAAAAAATAAAAATACACCTCAGATTATCGACTTTTCGTGAATAACATAGTACTCATCCTGCATGTTCAGTTATTTATTTTTCTAATTAGTTTTGTTGCAGTTAGTTATTGGATGGTTACAAAATCAGTGGAGGAGTAGAACAGAAATCTGGTCCTTTCTCCTGATTGTGAGGACTAAGATGAAACAAAATAAAAAGCAGCATAGCTATGTCTTTCCAGCCATAGAAAACATGATGTACCTCCTCTACTGACACCTTTACCTGATGTGTGAGGTGTACGGGTTGGATCATCTCCTGGGCGCCCCTCAATTTTAACCCAATTCCTGTTAAATTCTTAAACACCACCTAATCTCTGTTACTGCAGCCGAGGCTCATCTTACAACCCACCTCTACCGCATGTTTTCGGCTGACTGACAGTTTTGTGCAACAAGACTTCCACCTGTTATGACTTAAATGCCCTTTTCCACATAGACTCTGTATGCATCCCTATCATATTTATATTTTATATTTAGTCTTTGTTTATCTTTTTAACTTCATTCATTCAAAACCATTTATTTCACATTACAATGTACTTGTTGCACAATTATGAAATTGCTACAACAACCATACTCTACTGCTAATTTCTGCTATAAATGACCATAAAACTATAAAACAATATTGTAGTGTAAAACTGACAGCGTTTTCTCCACAGCTAAAGAATGAAGACTCATTTCTAAAAGGAATAAAAAAAAAAAATCACATCTGACTGTTGGATTCAAGGTAAAACACAAATTCTTGCAGAATTTTTAAAGTTACTATCAGTTTCCAAAAATGAAGAAAACAATTTTTGATCTTTTAGCATTTCTTTAATGATAACACAGGACCTTTATGCCTGTCGGAGGTTTATTCTGTTTACAGATACGTTGTGTGTCGAAAGACTTCTCTAAAAAAAAAAAAGGCAAAGTCCGTCCAGTCTGATGTTTATCTTTCTGAGAATAATTCAAATTCTGTTCACTTACTTCTGCATACCAACAACGCGCTCTAAAGTGAATAACACTCAAAATTTTCTTCAAGCCTTCAACCCCCCCAAAAAAACAACACCAAACAAAACAAACAAACAAACAAACAAAAAACAATGTTGCTCTTTTCAGATGTGTTTAAGAGAGAGGAAAAATGATAGGTTGCACGCTTGGTTGCCATCTTGTTTTTGTGCGTAATCGTGTGTGAAGTACATCCTGAGCTCCTATGGGGCTTAAGAGGGCTGTGGAATTGAGTGGGTGATATTGCTTGCGAGGGGTCTCTGGCATCATTCAGAGCAATTCAGCTGTCTGATCATCCAATATCTACTCAAGCAGGAGCTGGCTTTTATTATTCGCGCCGTGCCCTTACACAGCCCACTCTCGTCGGCAGCCACACTGATGAATGTTGTTATTTCACCTGCATATAAATTGACTTTCTGATACTCCAAATCGAGGTTCTTCGCCGCACTTACAAGCCGGTGTGTGTAAACAGCTAGTTAAAGGAATACCTTATAATCTTTTTTATTTTACTTCTTTGCTTCATGCAAGCAATGCTGACCGTTTTAGAGTGGACTTGCAGATGAATGAAAGTGCAGGATTCAGTTATTCGTTTTCATCAGTCAGCTTTAGCATCAGGGCTCGTAGGAAATGAGAACCAGACAGTGATAAAATGGCAAAGGCTTCAGTTACATGCTTAATCGATAGTACTTGGTGTTCAATCCAGTGAGCCATCATTCATCTCAACAAGACTTCAGGATTAAAAAAAAAAGATCATTACAGCCAATCAGAAGCAAGGGCGTTCAAATCACAGTCATCCGCAGTCCAACTACAAACCATCGGCACTGACGACAAACAGAATAAAAGCCCACAGATTTCTACTATATTGATATCAGATGAAAAATGGTTTAACAGTAAATAAATAAAAACTCTGGACAAAAGAAAGTAATTAAATGCTTCTAAAATCAGACAGAAATTTCTCCAGTAGACCTTCTCACAATCAAATGGATAAACAAGCCGTTGGGGGGAACCTGAGAGGAAATGAAAT